AATAAAATAATTTTTCAGGAATGTTTTTTAAAATAAAATTTAAATTGATTTTCATTTTTTTTAAATCGATAAATAAAAATGTAATTTTATTTTTTATAAAAAATATATAATTTTCAAAAAAAAATATATATATTTTCTGAATCATTCTTTGGGGAAGATTAGTTGATTTAAATTTTAATTATTCTGATTTTAAACAAATATTAAAGCATTTTAGTTTAAAATTAACAGAATTTTATTTTTTAACAAAGAGGTAACAATAAAAAATGATAAGTGATTTGATAACTCAAAAGAGACTTATGTTTGGGAAACGTTTTCCAAGTGGAAAATTACAAATTTTTAATTTTTTTAAATAACCTGAATACCTTTTTTTATAATATTTAATAGGTAAGTCCATGAGATCGCTAAAAAAGAGAGCATAGCATGATGAAAAAGACGCCAAACAAAACTGAAAACAAAATTTTATCGTCTAAATGTTTATGTTATTATTAAGAGGAAAGACCAAATTTTTTTTTTAATTATTTTTAAAAATTTTTCCTTCTTTTTTAGAACATTCTAAATTTTAATTAAAAAAAACTTGTTTCTCTTTGTATCACCGGAACTAGTAAAAAACATATACAATTTTTAGCATTCTTGTTTTTTGTATGACACACATTAATTTGGAAAAATGCAAAAATAAAAATAATTTCGGATGTTAATGAAAAATCAGAAAACTATTCACAGATGATCGAAATTATTATAAATATATATTTTTTTTTTATAAAAGTCATGGCAGAAATAATTTTTTATATATTTACCCCCCCCCATAACTAATTTTATGAAAATTCTAGAAATTCGATCGAATACAGTTTAATGATTACAATAGTTAAAAGCACAAGGCTTTGAAGAATGCAAATCATGTTTTTTTTTTTTTTTTTAATTGGACCCCCACTACCTGAAAATCAGCTCTGAATTGTAACATAATAAAAACTCAAAAAAAAAAAACAAATTATTTATTTTCAAATGCTTTTATTTGCTTTTAGTTGTTTTTATGAATATAGACAATATTTTCCGAAAGCAAAATATTTTCGATGAAAAATGAATTTTTAATACAATTATTTGTTATTTCTTTAATTATAATAAATTTTTATATTTAAGTTGTTAAAATATTATAAAATTACTTAAAAGCTGCATCCACTTTCGTAAATGTCCTTATGAGATAGATCTTTTTTAGCGCGTTGCAAATTGTATTGTTTTGACTAATCAGAAGACCCGCAGTAATTAAGAAATGTAATTTTGTGTGTATAATCGGGCTGTAATTATAAAGTACGGAAGACCAACCAGAATACAATTAAGTTGCGTTATTTGAGTTAAGCATTGTTTTTCGCTGTTAAGGCCTTTACTTTTGTGAGAAACACGTGTGGAGAAGTTAATTAATTTGATTTTTCAATTTCAACTGAGAAGGGTACCACAAGTATCAGTATCATCTTATGAAATTTATATGATCTTATTTTTATATTAATCTCAGTTATGACATTTTTCCATAAATGAAATATCAAAATTAATAATAAAATGAATGGAAATACAAATAACGCGGTAAAATGTAATAAATGTACATAACTTATAGTATTTTATGTACACTTCTAATAAATGTTCATAAAAAAAAGGTACCTATAAATTAATTAGATACCTTATGAAATTTAATCTCACTCTTAACAGTCTTATTTTAATTTCTTTATGGAAAATATATTAATATTTTCCATAAAGCATCGTAAACGTAAAGGTGAAAGCTAAGTACAAAAAAATAAAAATAAAAAATAGAGCGCTGAAAGTTTTCCTTAAAAATAACGAGGTAAATAATTTGTTCACTTAAATCTAAATAATTTCACTTCTCTCCTTCCGTAGAATAAATTATCCTCACGTAATCCGTCAATACGTCATCACCTGTCAAGTGATGCGAAATGTTATGACCTGCTTTGTTTAATTTTCAAGCTACATCTTTTCGGCGCAGAAACTAAATAATTCTGGGTTCAAAATATTTTAAATAAACATTATTAATTTTAATTTTCTTAAAATAAGTTTTTAAAAAAATGATAATTGATTTTAAAAGAATTTCAAACTGAGATTTTCCTTTTTTTATAAAATGGAAAAAATGGCTGACATGATTGATTATCTATCAATTTTGCTGACTCAAAAAAAAAACAAACAAGATTTTAACGAAAATTTCGGACGTGCTAGGAACAATTAAAAAATGTAAAAAAATATCCCCAAAATACTTTGATCTTTCCTCTTAATAATAACATAAACATTTAGACGATAAAATTTTGTTTTCGTCAAGTTTGGCGTCTTTTTCATCATGCTATGCTCTTTTTTAGCGATCTCACGGAGGTTCCTATATTTTAAAGTAATATTTAAAATTAAAGAAAATATTCTAAGTAATCTAATATTTTATTAGATTTTAGGTACTTTGGCTTTAAAGTCTTACGAAGATGCTTGTTATGGGAATGTTAGAAAATTACCAATAAATTTTAATTTTACTGTAGTTACCGCTTATATTTTCTCATATGTACGTCCATATTAGTACATTTATACACGACCCTCAAAAATTCAAATTTCTTTTCAAAATACTGGGGCCCCTGAATTGTAAGCTTTTCAATTTATGATTAGTAAATATAGTCTTTACTTAATAATATCATCTAGTCGCCACAAGTTAATACAGAATTTTAAAAGACTTAAATGCTTATAGATTTTCATAATTAATAATTAAGCAAATTAAAACAGTTCTTGTAAAAATTCATTATTCATCGAAAATAAATCTTCTTAAGTATCCATAATATATTTTATTCATAAAAGCAATTAAATTTTTTTCTATTTAAATAATGACTTAGTTTTATTGCATTTTTTATTTTACGATTCAGAATAGATTTTCTCAAAATGGAGGCCCTGTTTTAGTAAAAAAAAAACCCCAAAATGATGATTTTCTCCAAGGACTTGTTCTTATAACTATAATAGCACTAAAAAAAAAAAAAAATTCTCGAAATATCATAAAATTAAATAAATAGGGGGAATAACAGATGTAAAAAAATATTTTTACCAAGATTTTCTAAAAAGGCAACATTTCTAAAACAATTTTATTTATTTGTGAATAAGTCCTGAATGTTTCATTAAAATACGACAATTATCTGATTTGTGTAAGAATTTCCAGATCAAAGTGTTTTTCACTGCAAAAAGACACTAAAATTTCCCATGCTAATGGCATCCGTTGACACAAGAAAAACACATTTTTAACCAAAATTTTGAAGTTTCTAACAAGCATTAAAAAATATAATTTAACAATCTAAATCCTTTGGTTTTTCTCTTAATAATAACTTATAAATTTTAGTGATAAAACTTTGTTTTTATTAAGTTTGGGGCATTTTTTTTCATCATCTATTTTTTAGTGAATCTTTGGAGGTACCTACGTATATATATATTATTAGTTTTATACGACCCATGCAAAATAACATAACAAAATCATTTTCATTTCATCTTTACATCGAGTTAACTCTTGTAAGTGGCTCATTGTTTAATAGTTATTTATTAAGATGAGTAGAAGACTGGTGCAAGATCCATGTAGGAGTCGCCTAAAGAGGATCAAAATCACTACACAAAAGAAATTGCCTGCAAGATGAGCTTGTTAACCAGCACACTGTGCGGTAGGTGTCCACCTGCTTGAAAGAGAGATCCCACTTCTCACTATCTATTCTACAAAATGTGAGAAACTTTGTTCTTGATAAATATTTAAACATTTGTCGTCTAATAGTGCTGGTCTTATCATTTTTTTAAATATCAAGTTCCATTTTTAGTCGATGATGTGGTCTTAAGCGAAAAGGAATTGATTCTAAAAAGTATAGTCTATTTGTTTCTTATTTTCTGTAAATTTTGTTAATTTTTTAAAATTTAATTTGTAATAATTAGTATTGATTTGGGCATGTATGTTTATCTCAGGATAAAAATAGTCTAAATATTGACCAAGACAAATTAATATTAATTTGCAGAAAATGAGAAAAGCAAAAATAAATCAGAACAAATTTTTAATTAAATATTCAATAAAACGGAAAAAGTAAAAGATGAATTTAAAGCTAAGATGCCAGGAAGAAATATATTTATTTTCAGACAACATTCCACATTTAAAATGCTGAAATATGATGGTTGAAGTTGTTGCATCTTTCCCACTGGGTTCGTAGCCCAGTCAGAAATATGAGAAGTCACGATTGATTGATTCGTTTTCTACGGCTTATCAATCCTCTGCTGGTTATTTAAAGTTAGAAAATAGAGTGTAAGATTTTTTTAGATAAATATGACTTAGCGGTACAAGTCTTACTAATTAACCCATAGCTGGGAGAGATGCATTCATACCTTTCCCAAGTGTATTTGCGCGTAAGTGAATATAACGAGCCCAACTGAAACTGGAAATCGGCTCTCCGATTGACAACTCCGAGCCATTATCCATTACAGCATCTGTACATCTAAGCTTACAGCACCTAACATTCTCAAGCGATCACCCATCTACGAACTGACCAGACACGACATTGCTTAACTTCGGTACGAGAATCAGTTTTTCAACGCTATACGCTGTAAGTCAAGAAGAATTTAGGATTTCTGATATTCATATTCACGACCCACTTCGGAAGATTGGCATAGGGCATTCTTTTTTTAAACAATTACTAGGGAATAAGTACTTTTTTTTGGTAACCAATTAATTTTGGTTCTGAAGTCTACAAAGAAATAAAAAAATAACTCAAGTATTTTGAATCGTTATATACTAATTATATTTCAGTCATTTAATTGATCGATATATCCAATGGCCTCTTTTACAGATCGACGAGGAACAATACAATAAGATAATGGAATTCATAAAAACTGGCAAGGAAGAAGGAGCGCAGTTGAAGTGTGGTGGAAACCGCTTTGGGGACAAAGGCTTCTACATTGAGCCAACCGTCTTCTCCGAAGTGTCTGACAATATGAAAATTGCCCAAGAAGAAGTAAGTGATTTCGAACAACATTCGAATTGGTTGTATTGGAGGTAACAATGCCAACATTAAAGCTATCCTTTACTTATGTTAGTTTTAAAAAAAAATGTTTTTCATAGTGAAGATTTCAAAGTAAGAAAATAGATTTATGTGACTTAATTAACCAAAACATTATTCAAAATAATCAGCTTTTTGAATTATAATGTGTTATCCTTATTTTCATTATAATGATTTTGTTTCAATATTGTAACTATAATTTATTTGAATTTTGATCAGAAATAATGGTTTATAATGAGATTGATTGATTGCAAGTCTTCTAAATATTCCAGAAGTCCCATCAGTATTCTAGATGTTTCTAGTAAAGTAGGATGGTCTCGATTCTTCGTCAGAATTCCGGTATTTCCATTCTTTTAGCAAAGCTTATTAGATTAGTTTTAGCTTTCCAACAATTTATGCCATTTGAGATTTCTCGCCAGCAGTAACTGATGATATTCAGTGAAGAGCAAATGCCAGCAAGTCAATAATCAATACTCTCATTATTATTATTATTTACTTCTTCCCACCAAAGGTTACGGTGAGCTATCGTTGGGACCTAGAGGATACAAGTTTTCTCAGATCTTCTTATTTCTAAACACATAAGCTTTCAATATATCCGCCCTTTACTATGGTGACAATTCTTTATTTTAGTAATTTTCTTAAAGAAGAACTATAATGATTAATTTTCTCAGTAATACCTGATTGTTTTCGAGGAATGTTACCCCAAAAGGTTTTCATATTGAGACTGAAAATGTAGAAAACTCTCTTTTGTCAGTATTCTACATCAACTCAAAAGAAATTGCTTCTTCCCTTGTTTTTATGTTACGCAAAAGTAAACATTTGAGTTTTCAAAAAAAGAAAGATGCTGATTTATGTTATTATTTATACTATTTCAGTTTTTTTTAAATGTTGGCATTATTATTATTATTATTATTATTATTATTATTATTATTATTATTATTTTATCCTGTAATATTGTTAGTTTTTTATATGCAGATATGTAAACATAACTAAGATAATTTGAAAAAATAAAACAATATATTATGAAATGTCTATAATTAAAATACAAAAATAAGTGAAATAATTGCAATAATAAACTGAATTTTCTTAGATTTTCGGTCCTGTCCAATTGATCATGAGATTCCGTGATATGGATGAAATCATTGATAGATGTAACAACACTGAGTATGGAATGGCTGCTGCCATCTTTACTAATGATATCAACAGATCCATGACATTTACTCATGCCATGTACTGCGGAACAGTTTGGTAAGTAAATTGGTTTCAATATCGGCTGTGAAAACTAACCAGTCAATGCTGTAGATATGTTAAAATATTTCAGGCATTAGTGAATTAAAATTTTTTGTTTATTTTATTATTTGTTTTACAATGTTTTGTTAAGAGACTGCGGAGATTTTGTGGCACAAACAGTAATTACAAGTAATTCTAAACATGAATAATTCATAGTTTTTACGATTTGAAAATGATAATGTTAAGAAATAACAGCATAAATAAATAATAATAGTCATTATTGTTACTTAATAAGTAGTTTAATTATGATGATTTTATTCCGATTTCAGGGTGAATACATACAATCATTGGTTCCCTCAAGCTCCATTCGGAGGTTATAAGAAATCTGGCATTTACCGAGAAATGTATGTATATTGAGTTATTTCAATGAAATGAAATATACTTTCATCTACGACAATATCGAATTGTTTTCCATATAAAATGCATTTTTCCCTTAAATATCTCAGAAATTCAACCTGAGTCATATAAGCTATAGATGATAGTAATAGCTTGGCTTTCATTTGATTAATTTAAAATTTTGTTAATATTGTTTATTAATGAATTGAATTTATAATCTGTGAATATTACATAAGTTGTAACGACAGGCGTAAATGGAGACTAGATGTTTTTTTAATGCGAATGCTGTGAACGAACAAGCACTTAACTAATGAGGGAGGCGATCAGGAAAGAAGATTTCTCCCACAATAGACCAGTGTAACATAGGCACGTTTCATATACTAGAAAACAATATTTTCCTGACTGTCACTGTTCCAAAGCAAGAATAACCATGTTCAAAAGAATTAATTGCTAGTTTCAGAAGTATCTGCAATTGCAATTGTTAATTTACTAATCTCGCTGGTCTAACACTTTCGCCCCGGCCCCTCAACCCCCGGCGTCTTACTCTCGGGGTTGAGGTGTCTACTCGGTCCTAACCGAACTTAAGGGAGTGGTCATAGGTCCCCTGGGAATCCGTAGATTCTTCGACCAGTCCACTGGTCTAATCCTGCCCACGTTATGATTTGTTTGATCCAGAAAGCAGAAGTGATGTCCGTTCATTCACGGTCGACTGAAGATGTAGACACGGCTGGGGAGTCTGCGCTAAGAAATTTAGAATGCAGCAAAAAAAAAAAAAATTAATATCTGCAGAAAGCCGGACAAACATCGATTCAATGGTGGAATTGGTAATGTCTTTTATATAGCAGAAAAGAATAGTAGAGAAGAGAAACGCGTTACAGAAAAGAAAAGTAAAAAAACCCAAAAAACTCATACACTGGATTAGAGAGAGAGAGAGAGAGAGAGAGAGAGAGAGAGTGTGTGTGTGTGTGTGTGTGTGTGTGTGTGTGTGTGTGTGTGTGTGATTATCTTGTTAAATCGTCTCAGAACGATATATGAATATCAAGAATTTACTCCCGTCTGTCTTTTTCAGCATAACTACGCATTTATATAGATAAACCCGGCTGATTATAACTGACCCTCAGCCCTACTACTTCGCACGCGATTATCACGGGGTTCTGGCTGCTTCAACCTAAATCATGTGAATTCTCAAGTTCGTTCTAGCTTACTCAGCTCTATTTCAATTGTTAATCGATAAAAATTATTTCGACCATTTCCATTGTCTACTGATGACCCAGATTCAATGGGTACAACTTCTGCCCTAGATCAGATTTCCCTATCAGTAAACAAAATGCTCTGATTTAATTTCGCTATTCAAATCTACTCCAATTTCACTAAAAAAATATACGTACGTGCGTGTGTGTGTATTTCCCAGACTCTCTCTCTCTGTCACACAGGAAATGTAGCTGGAATCGAAATTAAATTATTTTAATCTCTACATATAACTGTGGATATTTATATGGGTTAACATTTAAAAATTGAACGAAGTTACTTTGGATAGACGTTGTCATAGTTATTGTGAGATTAAATTGTGTATATTTTTGTTTTGTTTTAGGGGCAAGTATGCATTGCGGGAATATACTGAAGTCAAAAATGTGAGTTCAAAATTTTTCATTCTTATGATATTAACGTGCTTTCTTCGTGTCTTGATCTCCAGTTTAGCAACTCATAAAAATGAATAAATTTATTCTATTAATTTTTTCAAGAATTTTCAGTCATTTTTCATTGTCAGACATTTTCTATAACGGAAAATATATAAAAGGAGAAATTCCTCATTTCAAATAAGTAGTAGTCATAATAATTATAATAAATAGAGATGGTAATTATTATTATGTCCTGTAAGCTTTTGAACTTTGGAGAATGTAATAAAAGATACTGATAGGCCATTTAAAAATCTTACTCGATATTAAATGACATTTATATAACAAACGATGAGACATAAAACCACGTCTATTTTAACTTGTTAACGTTTAATGAGGTAGTTTATTATTATTATTATTATTATTATTATTATTACAAATATACGAAACTCAAAATATCCATCATGACACACAGTCTGGTTAAAGCATACCAGTCACTTGCTTCATAGCCAATTGTGCGCGATATGGTGACAGGTTTTGATAAAATAAGCGCATAACCTTGCAGGTAGGCCCCACTTACAAAATACTTTCAGGTCCAGTAACCGATGAGACAGTCTCCGATTGAGTATTCCCACGTATCTCGATGTGACTCCCAAATTGTCTTGGTTACTTCAGACTTCAAACTTAAAAAAAAAAACCCTACAATACGGCTATAATGCTCCCCACTCATAATCATAGATAAACAGTTATTATTATTTTTATTATTATATGACTATAAATAAGTCGTAGGAAAGTAGGAATCTCATTAGTTAAAATGAACTTACACAAGAAATCATAATGAAATATTAACTTCTTCGTTTATTCTGGCAAAAAGGGAATAATTTACTGTAAGAATAGATGCGAACTATACTTTTGAATGCAGAATCGACTGTTTCGAAGATCCGACAATTACTATCATTCTGTCAAATAGTACATTAATCCTACGGAAGACTATTTAAAATTCTGCTTCGACTATCAGCTTAGACTCTTTCTCTCTCTCTCTCTCTTTTCACAGTTCGGTTCTCTACAGCTCTCTTTTGTCTTTTGTTGCTTTAAGTAATACTTCTTCCTTTACGACTTCTCTTCGTCTTTGTGGTACTTGTACCGCCATTCGTTCGCGCCAATAATGCCAAATATGTTTCTCGCTTCTTTCCACTGCTTCTGAACTCCTTTACATGTGTCCTGTGAGTATTAAATTCTCCAAGTTTGTTACCAATCTCTTTGTACTTCCTTTTCTTCTTATAACTTTCTCGTTTGTCACATAATCTGTTCAGAGTATCCTCAACATTTACCGGTAGAACCATATCAGAATTATTTATATACAAGGATATTTTTCTATCAGTTTTTTTCTATCGTTGCTCAGTTTCAGAAAGGCATCTTTCGCTATTCCTACACTCCTTCGGATTATCTATCTTATACATTCCCACGTTTGTTACTATACTACCCAAATAGTTAATTTCTGTGCTTGCTTGAAATTGACATCCACGATACGTTAAGTTATACACTGAGCTGTCCTCTTTGTAGAAAAACGTATATTCCGTCTTTTTACACTTAGTGGTTACTTCATTCTTTTTGCTTTCAGTGACTACATTGTTTAACAATTCTATTAGTTTTTTTCCGAATCTGTTATCAACACAGTGCCATCTGTTGACGTATATTGTTAAAGTTAAATCCGCCGATAATAAATCCTTGTAGGTAGGTCCTTGAATTCTGCTAGGAGCTGGGATCAAGAAAAAAGTGTGCATCACAATTTGCATTTCCAAGATATCGACGGTATAATACTAATTTTACCTAGCCAGCATTAAGAAGACATGGTCTTTAAATAATACTGGTATTAATGCCTGATAAGTGACAATCTCTTTCCCTGATTTTCAATGTATTTCTATCGTCAAGGCAGTTCTATATTAATATAATTTGAAATTAATTTATATTATCTAATAATTATATTATGTAACAGCAGTATTCTGTCAGTAACGTTTGCATTCATTTTTGATCAGTGATAATTCCTTTTATCTTGAAGTTCATCTTTGAGTGCCGAAAATAGCTAAAACAAATTCTAGGTAAAAAAATGTTTAAAATACATTATTTATTTATTTTTTGGTCCAAGAAAAATTTAGTTTGCTAGTGGAGAAAGTAAGTAAAATTGGACAGAGAAGTGTTAGACTAACATTAATGGTAAGAAAAGCTGAAACACAGTTTCAAATGCAATGGATGCTAAAATACAAAAGTATCTTACATGGAAAATTTTCTATATCTCTTTATATCGTACTCATTCGATAAATGTAATCATTAAAAAAGTAAGTTTTCATGCGTTTAATAAATCATTTCTGTGATAGCATAATTTGCATAAACAGCTAATAAGAATATAATTGCTCATCCATGATGAAAATATTAAAAAAACAAAACAAAACAAAGACAACTTGTTTTATAACCACTTCTTCATTTTGTATTCTAGATTGTCTACAGGATTCCCCAAAAGAATTCTTAAATCTCTCTTGACATTGATGCTTAAAGACGAGAAACGGATGAAAATTTAAATACCAAACCCAGAAGCTCAACCCACCTGGTCCTGCATGCTACTGTTTTTGGTTATTATTATTATTATATCGTATCATGGACACCGGCTCTTTTTACGACACTGATATTAAACTACTTTTATAAAACCTAATATATTTTCCTCGCCACAGAGGCTTGCTGTGGTCCTGCAGTATCTTTAACAAAATATTATAACAAAATGCATGTACGGTGAAATATTTAAGCATCGGCAACATCTATTTTTTTCTCCGCCGCAGGTAATTTGATCAACTGATCTGATGGTAAATTCTGTGTCTTGAAATAAATAATGAGAATTGAGGTAATGTTCGACGTTATTGTTACTACATTATATTGACATTATTAGTTCGGTCAATATTTCTTTTTATGAAATGAATTTATTTAAAAGGCAATAAAACCCTTAAAGAATAATTTGTTGTTCTTATAGGAAAGAACATTAATTCAGGAATTAACAAATTATTTAATTTATGAAAAACCGTTTAGCTAAGTATTTTTTGCGCTCTATATTTTCAAATAACTCGGTTTTTGACAAATATTATCAAATGTAAACATCAACCAACAGAATATTCTTTTCAACTTTGAATTCAGTAGATTTTTGATTCTTTGAAGGAATCAAATTCATAACATGATTCAAAACAAATATATATTTTACAATATTATTTTAACTACTTTTAGTTAGTAGAAATTTTAAAATAGATATATTTTATTTCATTTGATATTTAAGAAAACAATCAAACCCCAAAGATTTATTTCTTATCTTTAAGTGATATTTTTATTCATTGTGAGAATTAATTAGATTTTCTCATTTATTTTATGAATATTTTTATTTAAAAGAAGATGTAGTTGGACAGAATGTTCATAAATTAATAAGGCACTAAACACAATATACTCTTTTGCTTGTAATGAACACACAATAACATTTAAAATATAAACACCAAAATTTGTTTAAATTTAAAATTGGTGTAATTTATTTCTTTACCACGTCAAAAGTCCATTCCGCTGTAACAATTTATGGGGCTAAAAAAATAAACCATATTTAGGTATATAATGATATTGTTAATAAAATTTCTCTTATTTTATTAATGACTAATTTAAAAGAATTAATAAAAGTAAAAAAATTCGGCATTATTTTGGGCGACTAAAGTTTTTTTCTTCGTTGCTATTGTAGCGTCGATAATATTTGGAGAAATGGTATGGTAATTTATAATTTATCTAAAAATAAAATAAATCGAGACTTCAGAGAAAACCACGAACCGCCTAACAATAACCTTACTTATCTTCAATTTCTATCAACTACTATTGGCGCATAACATAATTTGGCTGATTATGTTCTGAATGAGCTTCGGCAATATTACATCAGAATGTTTGAGTGTAATATGGCTGAAAGACAAGGAAAATGAACTTCTAACATCATAAACAACTTTCCTTTTTATTTTTCAGTTTTTAGTTGAAGATATTTTGCACTTTAATTTTAAAACTGGGGAAACAAGAATTTTTCTCGGAATCACCAGCCAAAGCCTCAACGAGTGTTTTCAGGATTATCAGGCACTCGTAATCTCGTTCAATCGAGATCTTACGAATTTCATTGTAGTCTGTACGTATTTTACGTTCATCATGCTTCCTAAACAATATCATCTTAATGTCTAATTTTTTTCCATCGACAGGTTTTTACAATTTAACACTAGTGGCTACTAAATATATACTGCAACAATCTAAAAAAGATCATCTTGCCACTTTGGTTGTAATACAAAACATTTATATTGGCGATATTGACTAGTTCAGAAATATTTAATATATAAGAAAATTTATAAGAAAATGTAGAAATGAATTCAGTAAATTGGGAAGTGGCCGATCTAATTAATTTTTTGTGCCAGGTGAACGCTGATTTCTTCACAAAATTTGAACGATAACCACGAATTTTTACGGATGGAGGCAGAGAAAATGGTGCTGAAATCACTTTAAGTGACATTCAAAAAATATTGCTCAAACCAAAACAAGTGAAAAAAAATCACATGGATTAGGAATGGTTTGATTTGCGTTAAATATTACGTTCGCTTTTTTCATTTTATGAATTTTCCTACGACTCTGTTTTCTCTTATTTTCCTTTGCGATTTTTATTTGAATATCTGCGGCGGTGCTTCTTTAAATTGCTTTTTTATATTGAATTGCGGATTGAGATTTGATAGAAAATAAACCGGTTTGTTTATCTACACTGTTTTTGTTATCTTTTATTTCGAAATCACATCTGTTAAGTTTTGCAAAATACTTGAAAAGATAAGGAATTTATTTACGAATTTACATGCTTGAAATAGCGTCAGTAGCTCATTTCAAGAAAATCCATATAAGCGAAATGCATTATCGGATATTATTTTCGAAACATACTTTCATGAACGTTTTTCCAAATGTCAATAATTTATAATATAATTTTTTTTATTATAAGAGATTATAATAAAACATGTTAAAATCGCCACACGAAAACTTTCATGCTTTAATACTTTGATTTTACTTCTTCAGGCGATGGTAAATAACTTATCATCTCTTATAATAAAATAATAATTTATTGCTCTACTTTGTATTGAGCACTTTTTAAAAGTAAATGCTACGAACAGTGGAATTTTACACCATCTGTTCTTTTTCTCCCATTTGCATTTGATATATATATATATATATATATATATATATATATATATATATATATATATATATATATATATTCAACAAACTTTAGAAAACCCTAGAATATTCCAGAAACTTAACCTAAACATAAGTCGTCTCTGTCATCTTTTGACACTCAGAGCCAAAAGATAAAGAAAAAAGAAAAAGAATAATGAGAGAGTATAAAGAGACAAGGACATTATGAAAAGAATAAATAACCATGGCATACTACACATGTGTACGTAGAGGCGTACACACACGCATGCACACCTGCGTGCGCGTGCGCGCACACACACACGCATAAAAGAGGAAAAATCAACCTCGCACCAATAAATAAAGAGCATAATTCTTTTTTAAATACAAAAATTAATAAACGAGAAAATTGACAGATATTTGCTGATACCGCCTGATGAATGAGTTGAACAACAATTACAAACTTTGGGGAAGATATGCAGAATATAACAAAAATCAGTTAAGTGAGAAATTTTATATTTATAATAATCCTATAGGTCAAAAGTAGGCTTAAGTTTTTCATTGTTTCACAACCAGAGTTAACTTTGGCGAACTGTTCTTTCAGTAAGATGGAGCAGCTCCCCATTATGCTTTGGCAGTAAGGGTCTACCTTAACCAAACCTTTCCACAGCATTGGTTCGGAAGAAGGGACAGCATCGAATGGCCACCATGTTCACCTGACCTAACAACAATTGATTTCTTTTTTTTTTTGGAGGGTTATAGTAAAGAATAAGGTTTATGAGAAAAATCCACACACAATGAACGAATTAAAAGAATACATCTCAGAAGCATTTATTGAAATTGATGCAGATCCGGATTTGTGTCGCGCTGTGTGTCGTAGTATTTTGGAGAGGTTCGTGGAATAAGCACTTAAGAGATTAAACTGTGCAAAAAATGTAAGTAAAGTGTTAAACAAATGTACATAAACAGTTATGAGAAAATATGATTGTAACAAATAAATATAAATGTAATAAAATGTTTAAAAAATGTAAAGTGCATATCTATTAAGTGTAAGCCTAATTTTGGCCCACGCTATATATATATATATATATATATATATATATATATAGATAGATAGAGAGAGAGAGAGAGAGAAAGAGAGAGAGAGAAAGAGAGAGAGAGAAAGAGAGAGAGAGAAAGAGAGAGAGTGTGTGTGTGTGAGAGAGAGAGAAAGACAGAGGAGAGAGATGCATAGAGAAACAGAGAGTTTGCGTAGGATGTTTTTCAAGGAGTAGCAACATATCACAGTCGCCTGTAAGATTGCTCAGGACATGTCTGTCAGGGTTAAAAGAATCTGTATTGGATGGCCAAGCAGAAAACCTTTTATATCAAGTCGATGATACATAAAGGTACATAATAAAGAAACTAGAAAAATACAAAACTTAGCAGAATACGAATTCCTTGAATCTAGACGTTACAATATTGAGAATTTTTTAACTTTGAAATGGCAGTGTATTCATATCTACTCATATATTTTTTTTTACAATGCAGTGACAACTCTCGTCATAGATGGGATGTGGTGTGTATTAGGCACAGTCTTCTGTCCTCTCCAAACTTTACGATGAATACCTCGCTATTTATTGCGTTTCAGCTTGTTGGAAGTCCTCCTCTGTAGTTCCTGTCTTTAAGAACTCTGGGGAACTATTTTAACCCTGAAATTATTGCCCTATTAGTCTTTTACCGCTTTTTTTTTTTTTTTTTGGTAAAATACTAGAGTCATTAGAGCCGACTTTGTTAAGCATCATATTTCATACGACCTCCTTTCGGATAAACAATATGGCTTCCGTTTCTCCAGGTGTAGTGCTGATGTGTTAATGGCCATTACTGAATTTGTCTATCAAGCTTTAGATAAGAACGGCGAAGCTTGGGCTGTGACTCTAGATATCGCAAATGCGTTCAACAGGGTTTGTCATATTGGCCTTCTCCACAAGCTCTAGAGCCAAGGTGTCTCTGGACGAATATTTTGATTAATCCAATCGCTGGTAACAAGTCGTGTTGAACAAACACACTTCTAGTTCATTTCATATTGATGCAGGGATCCTCAAACCTACGTTGTTTCTTTTCATCAATGACCTCCCCGATGTCATCACTTCCCAACTAGGTATTTATGCAGATGACGCAACTATTTACTCCTGTCTTAATAGCAAGTCAGATAAATACGACAAAGTAAAACTGGCAACTGTTCTCAAAAAGAACCATTAATCAGAGGGTAACAGAGGCAAGAAATGGCTTGTAAATTTTAAATCCCCCAAAACAAATCTGCTTTCA